GAAGTCCTCGATCGAGCTTGGGATGATTTTGATCGCCTCCCCGAGGTTGACGGCATGATCATACTTGATACCTGCGTCGTAGCAGGTTTTGGATAACTGGGTGAATTTTGCCTTGTCTCTTAGGAAGACAGGGGGCGGGACTTGCTTCTTAGCAAGGACTGGAGCACAACGAGAGGCTGGTTTGGTCGGTGTGGGGATGTCTAGTGACATCAGTGGGACGGCGGCAGCGCCGAGGGCTGCGGAGGTTGTGGGAGCGGCAGGGGCCGCTGAAATAGGGGGAGTGCGTTTTAACGCGGCGCGCTTACCGTTGCGCTTGGAAGTGACGGTGGTGAAAGTGGACTCCCCCGGTTCCGTCGGAGTCAGAGGACTCCGATGAGCCGGAGCCTGAAGTAGTGGTGGGCCTTCTTCCGGGAGGTCGGCGCCGAGGACTCGGAGCATGCGTACTCCATTTCTAAGGGGGCAGATTTAAGGGGGGCAAAGGAGTTCCTCGTTTCGAGGTAAGACGCGATTACCGGCGGCGGAAGGTGTGCCTGAGGGGCAGGGAGGGGAGCCTGGGCGGCGATGGTGGCGCGGCGAGGACCGTCTCATTGCCATTTAAACCGAATTGGTTAATGAGGGCGGCGAGTGACTCAGTGAAACTGGATGTGGCCATTTTGGGTCAGTAAGCTAGGCTAGGTAAGGGTGAGGACGGGTCCCTGTTCTCGGTAGAACAGGGACTAGATCGCGAGACGTACTACGACACACTATACACGTAATAATAATGCAAGAATAACAAGAAAAATAAGAAAATAAAGCAGACAGTAAAAAAAAAAGATAAATGAAACTGATAATGAAAATGAAATGAAAATGAAAATGAAAAAAGAAAATGAAAAGCGGAAGTCAGTCAGACCTCCCTACCCGAAGACAGGGGGGCAAGAACTGTAGCGAGAAAGTGACTCACCGGCAGCCTCGACGCTGTTCCGCGTGAGCAGGACAGCGGAGGCGCGTGAGAGCGAGACAGCACTACCGTACTGTACGGGAGCGCGGACCACCAGGAGGCGACCGTCCGAGAACGATGCCGCCGGCGGACTGAGCACTGCGTCAGCGCTGTACAGCGCGAGCGGGACAGCGGGGGGCGCGAGAGCGGGAGAGCACTACCGTACAAGGAACGAAAGCGCGGACTACCTGGATGCTACCGCTCGGAAGCGATGCCACAGGCGGAATGTGACATTAGTCGCCTCAGCAATCTGTTTATATACGTCTATGATGTTTTTCGCAGTACATAACTTTTTCATGTAACTAAACACTGAATAGCCCATTGTCGGGATTGTCTATTTAACACCAAATTCTTCCTTCTCTGCATATTTAGACCAAAATCTGAACACTCTAATTACAACAACAAAAATAATTAAAAACAAGAAATAACAAAAACAATTAATAACAAGGAATACAAAAACAACAATTAACAACGAGGTAACAAAAACAATTAACGAAAATAAACTAATTAAAAAAGTTATCACTAAAATTATTGCTCTGAAGTGTACGGAAACCGAACGATACGTTCGAAACCAATACACGACGGGAATCGACTGATGAACCAATCACGTTGAACGTAATCGTGGTCAACGTCGTATCGACGAATAAAAAGTGTGCTCACGACTTATGTCGGCAATTATAATGTTTTATTTACCAAACAATAAATCTATATGAAAGCTCAGACTCAAGGCGATTTGGAGACCGATTTGTTTAGATTTTTTTGTGCCACAGAATCGTTAAGCGAAATCGAACAAAAAAGATAAAATTAGATTTATAAGAACACAAATGATAGAATAATTTTTCGACGCAAGGGGATTATATACTTGTAAAGTGCACACAGTAGTGCGCTAAACTTCGATCAACAATACCAACTATTGTTGATCGAAGGCACTAAAGCTTTAGCTTAGTAACTAGAGAAATACGTTTGGGTAGATGCCGCGAAAATCAACGAAAGTAATTTATCTTAGGTCTAAATAACTAGGGCCGATACAGATGCCAATATAGCGGAGTAAAAGTCCTAAAGTCATAACTATTTTTATTTCAATAAAAGATTCAATCACATTACAATTGTTTTAAATTAATTCTTTTCTCAATAATTATTACAAAGGCGCGCGCTTTTGCTTTATATGTATTTTCACATAGACAATTTTGGTTTTGGTTATTTTTTTAATATCTTTTAGACAAATTCAGTATTTTATTGTTTACAAACTGTGTCTGCGTTGAGCTACAAATATTGCCGAAATAATTATGTAAATTGGCCTACGTGTTACGGAGGAGATAAATTTCAAAGAATCGTTTTCTTACGCATCCAACTAAACATAATATTATGTAGGTACACGTACATGGTGGTAGGTGATAGATAAAGTATTGCACGCTGCAGCCACATTGTGGTTGTAGCACGAATGGGTCGGCTCGACCGGCGAAGTACCACCCTCTCCTCCGCTCCACCGAGTCAGTAATTAATTCTTGAGGCGATGTATACGCTTTTACAACAAAATCCCAGAAAATATACTAAATTTGACATACACAAAGTTCAAAAACATTATTAAACTAAGTTTGTATAAAAAGGGTTATTATAATATTAAGGAATTTGTGGATGATAATAGCCCCTGGGAAGGGTGAATCACTACCAAGCTATTTCTAATTTGTTTTGCGTTGTTAATTGTAACGTACATGATTGTAAGCTATTATTGGAAAAAACAAATAGTCTCACTGGGTTTCTTTCTAGTTCTTCCCAGGACAGAGGTGTTTTTGCGAACTAGTGGTAAATGAAAAAAAGTTACTTTCAATAAGTATTGTTTACAATCTATATTGAACAAAAAAGTTTCTGTTCTGTTCTGTTCTGTTCTCATAGAATACCAGGAAAGAGTAGTGTGGAGAACCTGAGACCCTTTTTACTGGAAACGAGGCATTCCATAGTCCTCAGGGGTGGCAACGCATCTGCATTATGATTCTTAATTGACGATAGATGTATCTATCGATGGGCCTTATCATCCACTTATAATCAGGTGGAGTCATTGAGTGTGCGCACGTTTGTCACCCTTATTCTATAAAAAAGAAGAGAAAAGTGTACCGCAGTAGAGGGACGCGTCGTAAGAAAACTTGTGAGCCTCAGGAAACTTCGAGGACATGTAATACCAAATACCGATACCAATTATGGCATAAAGAAAAACTGACTCTACCCATATCTCGCCTTAAATATGTAATTTAAGGCGAGATATGATCATCAGGTCCCTTCGTCATGACTATCAAAATTTTTAACAAACTCCCAGACTCGATAAAAAATATAGAATTAAAGAAACTATTTTAATATAATGTTATTTTTTTTTAATTTTATCATATAATTTATTAAAATGAACTTAACTAAAATAATAGTTAAAATTATAATATTTACGATTAAAACTAATTATATACAATATAAAAGAAGAAACTATAATATAGAAAATCTAAAACGTCAAAAATTAGTCAAAAGGACCTGCTCCCCGTGGTATAGTGCCAAGAACGCTGGCTGCGTTTCCTCGCTGAATAGCTATACTTAGCCTTTGAGCGAGGAAAGAACCAGCCCTCTTATCACCAGCAGCGACGACCAGTCGTGGATACAGTTCCTTAAGAAAGTTCACTGCATGCGGACCCCACGGACCAATACTCTACAGCAAATGGCACAAATATGTAGTCATTTCTCAAAGACTCATATTTGCGCCATTTACTAAATTCTGATACCGCCCCGGCTCTAAAAGAGGTACCCTTGAGATGAGAGGCCGCCAAAGTGTCAACGCAAGTAGTCTCCCACACTAGGGCTTTACCTCTCTCCCAAGGGACCAAAGTCATACCGTCGGGTCTCCTGCCATCGTCTCTAAATATCCCGCAAGGCTCTAAAACCGAGGGGACATTTATGGGGACAAGAGCCCTTCGGATGATTTCGTTCAAAGAACCGTGACGGGAAAACCTACCTGCACTTTTCTTGCATGAAAGTCCGTGGAGCCCAAACTCATCGACGCTGCTACCACAGGGGCACTGGTAAGGTTGACAAATTGTCACTCCTAGCCGGATTCCTACGGCGAGCGCAAGCTTTCCCCATCAAGCAATGTGCCGAGATTACTTGATGGTAGAGCATGTAACCAGTGGCTAGATTCCTTAGTCGAAACAGCTAGAAGGCGAGCCTGATCTTGCTGATTGTAGAAATTTAGAAATAAATTTTTCTGGACACTGCGTACCAACGGAATATCCCACTGTTTTTGTTGGTTAACTTCCAGTGGGACATTTTCGCCGGGACAGAGTGTTAGCCATGTTTGCCTTGCCTCCGCAGCAAAGCACAGGTCTACTTTATTATTTAAATTTGTGTTACATAGATCATTGACACTCACGGAAGCAAGGAAAACAGGCAATGCGACGCTAGAAATATTTCTTACACCAATAACACCAAATTTTAATATAATAAACTAAAGCAATCTTTAATTTGTAAACACTACTACACACTAACGAATATTTAAATGATAAATTTTAAAAATCTATCTAGTATTTAAATTCTATTTTATTTTAAAAATACCTACCATTGCAATATTACATAGTGTATTTGTCATTATTATTTCATTACAATGGCCCTCCACTCTCATAATTGCAGTGCCCTGCAGGGCCCATAAAGAGTTAAAGCTTAAAATGTTCTCAACACCTTTACTGTCACTATGGATGCAATGAATAATAAGAATATGAATGTGCTTCACAACCATCTCTGTCTACTTACCACTTAGGTAACAGAGAAAATGAAACATTAGTAACGGAAGATACGCGGCAGCATTTTTTTGATACCAACTCAAAAAATACACAAACAGCCTTTTATTTGGAGTAAAATTAGATGTTTTATTATTAAAATATATAATCTAGGCGTAACAAATAAAATAATATTGTTACAACTAGTGGCAGCTACTCTGAATCGTTTATATTATCTTCATAAAAATTTTAATTGATGATATATTTGCATGTTGCAGGAAGCGCATACGGCGCGTTCGCGACGTCCGCGTCGCTACGTTTATGACCCGCAAAGTATGTACTCATCTTAACTACGAAGAGTACGCTTAAAATGTACTCAGTTACGTAAATTAATGGTCACTCTATTGTAGATCCGTTATGCCGGGAGCTGGTTTGCAAAAAGCGCGAGGTGTGCTTGCTACGCGACGCGTTTACAGCGCAGTGTGCTACTAAGAAGGATGTACTACGAAGGGGGTGAGGAGATAAGATATATAGTATATTATGTATAATATCCATTTTCTTCTTCTACTCTGGCCTACTCTATAGCATCATTTTTCAAACAGTGAAGCAGCAATCCAACGAAATCGAGAAAAAATTGTTTGTAATACCAGTAACAAATAAAACTAGTAATGGAAGATACATGATACAAAAAATGTAGAGCGGGAGTTAAGCATAACTTATTACTTGGATCTCAATGTTTTCACATAGCTGTATTTCCGGTTTTAAGGTTAGGCGAGTTAGACAGTATAAATGCAGGCTATGATTCCATCCGTAACCGTGTAGTGGGGGTATAAGAACATTCACTAGCCCATAGCATTGCTAAACCGCTTGCCAGGCGTTGAAACTATGGTAAATCGTTACTTAACCTGCTTAAGAGATAATCTATAGGGGAGGCCTATGTTCAGCAGTGGAATTTTCATAGGCTGTAATGGTATGGTAGGCATTCCATCATAGTCTAAGTTGTGAAAACGCATCTGTTGCCTTCAAAACAATATGAGTTGGTTGTATGGTTGGGCGCAGATGTCCACGGGCTGCAGTACCCACTAACCGTCACGTGGGCTGTTAGCCCGGTTACCATTCTAATTCAAAAATTATTAATGTCATGAGTGGTGAACGCTATGAGGTAACAAAGAATTCTATGAATACGCGTAGACGGGTACGATACTAATACAAGGTGCACTTAGCTACGGATTTAATTCTCCGTAACTTATTTAGGCGCCTGCGAGCGGGCGAGAAGACTAGTATGTTTGTTTTCTAAAGCGCGAACGTTGTTTTCGACACTCTATCACTAATTTTGTTTAATGTGACTAAGAAAAGTATGGAATTTTATTTAGTATTCATACGTGGTAAAGTCACGCTGCAGCTATATTAGTTGTAGCACGAATGGGTCGGTTCGACCGGGGTAGGACCACGCTCTCACGGAATACCAGCGTAAAATAGCAGCTTTAGGCTGCTGTGTTTCGAATGGTGAGTGTAGAGAACCAGACTCTTTTTACTGGAAACGAGGCATTTCACTTTAATCCTCAGGGGTGATAATGCATCTATTTTTAATTTCCCGCTAAGAAAATTGAAAATTTTCAAAAAGGGAAGTTATTGGTTTCACCCCGATTTTCGAAAATCGAGTTTTCATCAGATCTTGACGTTTTGAGATCCCAGGAAGCTATTCTGACTAATTTCACGTGGACGTCCGTACGGATGTATGTACATGTGTATGTGTATGTATGTATGTAAACCTTTCATAACTTTTGAACGTCTTGATCGATTGATATGCCATTTGCGGCATTCTAAATATCTCAATATGGAACAAATTTGGTGATAATATTAACTCATTCGGATTAGTAGATTTTGAAAAATTTCAAAAATAAAAATTTAGAATAACTGTTTTTTTGGTATAACTTTTAAACGGCTTTACCGATCGATTTCAAAAACTAATCAGCTCTTAACCTCAAAAAATGATGTCGAATGCCGTTTGGAAAATAGGAGATCATTCCTTTCATTATTCGGTTCATTCCTTCGTGAGATATTGAAGGAGAAAGAATTCGAAAAAAAAAACGTTTTTTTTAACATAACTTCGAGTTTTCGCACCATAATTTGGTGAAATTTGGAGCGCTTTGTATTTGAAATTAGCGGGAAGTTCCAGGGATAGCCTGCAGGGTTAACAAATTTTTTTTATGGTAGAGGGGGCAAACTAACATACGGGTCACCTGATGGTAAGTGATGACCGCCGCCCATGAACGTGACAGGGGAATTACGGATGCGTTGCCGGTCTTTTAAAAAGAAGTAGGCTCTTTTCTTGAAGGTCCCTAAGTTGTATCGGTCCGGAAAAATCGCTGGTGGCAGTCGATTCCACAAGTACGTTGTACGAGGAAGAAAACTTCTTTTAAATCGCACGGTGCTGGACCGCCAGTCATCCAGATGGTATGGATGGTATCGCGAGTTTTGTCGCGATGTGCGATGGCCGATGGTGAAATTGTGCGGCTGGAATTAGTCCGAACAATTCCTCAGAGCACTCCCCGTAGTAGATGCGATAAAATACGCAATGAGATGCAACATCTCTTCGCAGTGCCAGTGAGTCAAGCCGGTCGGAAAGAGCTAGGTTGCCGACGATTCGAACCGCTCTGCGATGACCCAGAGCAGCCCCAGCCCAAAGATGGTAACAGTATTTCATGTGCGGCCGAACCTGCGTCTTGTTAAGTTGCAGGTGGTGTGCCGGTATGAAATACTGTCCCGCTCTGCTGAGTACGATAAGCTTTTTAGAGGTCAATTTGGCCTTTCCTTCCATGTGACCACGAAAATGCACGTCGCTCGATATATCGACGCCGAGGATTCCGATACTAACTGAGTCAACAAGTGGAGTGCCTTGAAACTGAGGAGATACGACGAAGGGTTTTTTTTTAAGACAACAACAACAGAAGACACTAGTTTGCGCGGTAAACGCGCAAACTAGTGTCTTCTGAGGATTAAACTGGACTAGAGTCAGGTATAAATATAGTATACTATCGGAATGAAAATACAACTGTGTGGTATATTTATTGTACCAGCTACCCACCCGAGTCCGCGCGACCCACAGCTGTGACGCAGCTTTTTTTTTCTGAATTGCCGATCTATCACTATTTTTTACAGAATAAGAGTGACAAACGAGAATGTCGTAAGTAGACACTGTGACCCATAGACATCTACATCTATTCTTGATTAAGAATCAAAATGCAGATGCGCTGCCACCCCTGAGGACTGAAATGGAATGCATCGCTTCTAAAAAGGGTCTCCGGTTCTCTATACTCACCAAACGAAACGCAGAAGCATTGAGCTGCTATTTTACGCTAGTATTCTGTGAGTATACATAGAAGTCTCTGTACAACACACGATGATAGTGATGATACCTACCGAGTTGTAAACTCGGATTTAGTAAAGATTTGTGTGCAGCGACACGATCGTGGCGGCGCGACGCGAGCGTGGCGACGACGATGACGTTTTCTACGAGGCGGCCGCGCCCGCACGTGCCGCCGACAACGAGGCGGACGTGGACCCCGATGGCGAGTTGGACAACGAGGCTGATCACGACGATGAACTAGATCACTCCCACGATCGCCCGCCAGAACGGTAAGCGTTCTAAGTAGATACCTATATTAAGATAATTGATAGAATCAGGCGTTACTTTGCGGAAATCCATTATAATAAAAATAATAATTACTTCGCAACCTTCCACTAACTAACCTCTAACACTTAGCGGTCAGCCGCCGTAGAGTCTACATCACCTGAGGATGCCTCGTGTAGAGGCGAAACACGTGTCGTATTATCGTCGATGGTGTGTCTTACCTGGAATAGTGGTGTTGGAAGTAGTGGTGCCGGGAGTAGTGGTGCTGGGAGTAGTGGTGCTGGGACTAGTGGTGACGGAGTTAGTGCATGCAATTGAGGGAGGGCGGGAGGTGCTCTTCAATCCAGGTAAGACACATCATTGTATTTACTTAGCGGAAGGTTGCGAAGTAATTAGTATTTTTATTACCTATATTAAGTTTGTAAGGCCTTTCGCTAAATGGTTGAAGTACCTAAGCACTGTGCTCAATAACTTCAATAGAGTCTCCTGAAATAATAACTATCCAATCCGATATTTAAAATCTATATTGCTGAGCGACGTTGAGCTTCCTCATACTCACAGCAGTGAAGGACCACGTCTCTGATCCATATGTTGTTATTACTGGCAGCACTCACTGGTTGTATAATCTTGTTTTCAAGTTTTGATATATACCTTACGAGAAGATTTGTTTTTATAGGAGAAGGGGCACACGAGCATACGTCTCACGTGACGGTAAGTGATTACCGCCGCCCATGAACAACTGCAACACCAGGGGAATTGCAGATGCGTTGCCAGTCTTTTAAAAAGGGGTGGGCTCTTTTCTGGAAGGTCACTAAGTCGTATTGGTCCGTCGGTCCGGAAAAATCTCTGGTAGTAGTCGATTCCACAAGGAAGTTGTGCGAGGAAGAGAACTTCTTTAATACGCATAATGGTGGACCGCCAGTCATCCATGTGGGGTGGATGGTATCGCGAATTATGTCTCGATGTGCGACGGTCTGCAGAAGATTATAATTATTATGTGCAGATGCGTGGGTTGCGGTGGTGCGGCGGCTGGAAGTGGTACGGGCGCGCAGTTCGTGTGCGGCTCGGACAACCGCACGTACTCATCGCTGTGCCGGCTCGCCCTGCACAATTGCGTGCGGCGGCAAGCCAAGCCCGTGCGGCTCGCCTGCCGCGGCTTCTGCCCGTGCCGCGCCCTGCACTCCGCACCGCACATCGCTACGCACTCCGCTGCCACCAGGCGTTTCCGCGATGTAAGTTCTTTCAAGATATGTGTTTGGCTGCAGCGATCAGAGAACGAGTGTGATTCCCGTTCAGGACATATACACTCAGGGACCAACTTAGAGGAACGCAAAAAAAGGTTTGATAATATCCCCTGGCAACAAATATTAGTAAATGCTATGTGTGGGAGAACGAAGCTCCTGTATCGGTTGTGCTTGTTAATTTAATGCATTGACTGATGTGAATATGATACAAGTAGAATAGGGACGATTTAATGTTCTTAACCTTTTTGAGCCCTTTCTTTGTGGACGGGGTTCTTTAGCTATAAAATAATTATAAGGCACAATATGTAAACCTACCTAAAAGATTAAGTTACTAAACAAACATAAAATACATAGATTAGGGTACCTAACTAAGACGATCACGCCATAAATTTATTAAACGGCCTGTAACTGAACCTTAAGAAAGGTCCCTTTGGGTAAAATCGATATAGGTATTGGTATAGGTATTGTATTTGTTTATGCTCATCACGTAAATTTTATATAATTATATACGGCCATTTCTATAAAGAGGGAGGGGGAGCGTAACAATATGTAAAAAGTATTGGAAGTTGTTTTTTTTCGAATTTCATTTGTTTTTATTTAATGATTGTGTAATTTTGCGTTTTTTCAAACTGCGAAAAAATTTGCCAAAATTTGGGTTTAAGTTAAAGTTTGGTTTAAATTTTGCATTTACTGCCTTGTTTATCATGTGTATATATAAGTATTAATTGTTACTGCAAATAAACTGAGAATGCCAAATCTAAACACCACTCAAGTTTCTAGGGTTGTTACTCTGATTGAAATTGGGCTCACCTTTTTTATAGCATTGAGTGACAAACGAGCACACAGTTCACCTAATGGTACGTGGATGGTATGGCCGATAGATATCCACATTTATTTTCAATTAAGAATCAAAATGTAATGCGTTGTTACCCCTGAGGACTAAGATGGAATGCCTCGATTTCAGTAAAAAGGTTCTCTACACACACCATACAAAACACAGCAGCATTACGCTACAATTTGACGCTGTTATTCCATGAGAGCGTGGCCTGCCCGATCGAGTCGACCCATTCGTACTACAACAATAGTATAGCTGCAGCGTGGCTTTACCACGTAAAACCTTCACCTTCAAACATGTGACCATTACAACTATGAAAATCTGTGGTACACCGAGCAAGAGGTATAGGTAGCTGGATGCGGCAACATTAAGTACCTACTTTTAATAAGCATTTTTGCTGTTGTACGTTTGGGCCGGCTCGAGATGGGGTGGTACCATGACCTCACAGAATACCGGCGTGATGTGGAAGCTCTGCTCTTGCGTTTCGTCTGGTGAGTGCAGATGGCCGAAGGCGCCAATTACTATTCAGGAGGGTACCAGCACCCCTGGAGAATCCCTCGCTGAGTATTCATGACCAAGCTACTCCACCCCTGAGCGTTGGTGCTCAGGCTGTCCGCATATTCTGTGTGTGTGGGGGGGGGGGGGGGGGGAAGGCGAAATTCTGCTCAAGACAATATAACTGCTCCGGGTACGCTGAGCACCAAGACCAAGGTGACCCCTGCCCTGCTACTCTCTGGGTTCGTGGGTGGCGTGGCGGGTTTACGAGCACGTATCACGTATCAGGGGACTCAATCGAACCTAAACGCGGTCTACTACTATCTCAATGGCGATGCCGGCCTGCTCTTTCTGACCAACGCAGCGCAGGTGCACAACGTGGTGCGTAACGAAGGTGTCTCTCCGGCTGATACTTTTTCCTTTTCTTACCCAGGGTATAAAAGGAAACACTCCTTTGCGCCTCGGGCTGGAGTTTGTGTTACGTCAGAGACGCCTATCTGTCCATCCTTTTGCTAAGCGTAGACGACGACGACCATCCGCGCGTGGCATGGCTAAGCGTAGACGGGTGTCTCTATAGGTCCCATAGCGGTAATGCCGTATCAGGCCGACTCATTGATCACGTCCAAATGACTACAGATTCCTTGCTACAGCAGATCCCGTCCGCAGAGCTCAGTTTACGTTTGACCGATCATGTGGGGAAATCTGTTCATAATTTTGCCTTGGCACAGGGTCTGACACAACTGGTTACTTCGCCTACGCGGATTCCAGATGTGCAGGATCATGTACCTCCAACAGACCTTCTGCTGACCTCTCATCCAGACAGATATGAGTCTCCGTCGATGCCCGTGTTTGTTCCTCAGACCATTGTCTAGTCCGGAATGTAGTGCCACTGCCGCCGTGTTTAGCACTGTGCTGACCTATAGTTTGGCACTATAGGTCAGCCGGATGGGATAGGATGCGGTCTTTCTTTGCATCTTACCCTTGGGGGCGGGTCTGATTCTCACCGGACGATCTCAACGTTGTTGCTGATTCAGTAGCCGATGTGGTACTTCAGGGAATGGAACTTTTTATTCCTTCCTCTGTAGTGCCCATCGGAGGCTGATCTCAGCCATGATTTAGTCACTCCTGTAAAAAAGAATCATGCTATAAGCGTGTGTACTACCGAGCCTGGACTGTCGCATCAACGTCCCGTAATTTAAACAACAGCGACTTTAAAAAGAAGTAACATTCCGTCTCCAGGTCCTTTAAAAGAGTCATTGCCAAGCAGAGCACATAGGCAGAAATGGTGAGAAACTAGTTCGCCTTCCTTCTGGAAGCACGGGATTCTGGTTTTTACCAAGGCTGTATAAGGGAAGTTCTGTCAGCCATCATTTACATCTCTGCATAGGTAGGACTACTCACTGGCCCATGCCGCAAAGGAGAAAGCCGATCTGCTAGGCTATTTCTTTGCAATCAACTCGACTCTCGATGACGGGAGGAGCATACCGCCGACCATCCCACGGTGTGAGTGTTCCATGCCGGATGTGAGATGTACACAACGCTCGGTTCGTAAAGCACTCCACGTCGAGTGGCCCTAAGGGAGTCATCCCAGTTGGGCTGAGGACGTATGCTCCAGAGTTGGCACCAATTCTAACGCGTCTTTTCCGATATTCCTACTCCCTTGGTTTAATCCCGCTATCATGGAAGACGGCTTTTGTCGACCCGATCCCTAAAAAAGGCGAACGCTCATATCCGTCTAACTACAGGCTGATCACCATCACCTCCTTGTTCTCCAAAATAATGGATTCCGTTATAAACTGCCAGCTACTGCCTTAATTTGGGGATCACCAGCTGATGAGTGACCGCCAATACGGTTATCGACGGGGTCGTTCAGCTGGTGATCTTCTGGTCTACCATACTCTTAGATGGGCGAAGGCAGTAGAGTCCAGGGGCCTCCCCCTTGGAGTCTTCTCCCTATTGGCCGTAAATTTGGACATTGTGAAGGCGTTTGATCGGGTTTGGCACAAAGCGCTTTTTTCCTAGAAATTGTGCCATTGGATCACCAGCTTTCTTGCAGATCAGAACATCAAGGTCGTTGTAGACGGTGTATGCTCCGATTATAAGCCTATTAATGCTATTATTCCACAGGGCTGCGTGCTATCACAAACGCTGTTTCTTCTGCATATTAATGATATATTAAAAACCGGTAACATTCATTGCTATGAGGATGACAGCACTCGTGATGCTCTATACGCAGGTCGTTCGGGAAAACGTCGCCGAGTACCGGAACAAACTTGTGTCTGAAGTCGAGACATTGTTGAACAAAATTTCGGACTGGGGGCAACTAAATCTAGTCCATTTCAATCCCCTGAAGACATAAGTTAGCGCGTTTACCGCAAAAAAATCCCTTTGTCGTGTCTCCTCAGTTTAAAGGCACTCCCCTTGTTCCCTCAGCTGGTATCGGAATCCTTAGCATCGACATATCCAGTGGCGTGCAGTTTCGTGGTCATTAGAAAGAGAATGCCAACTTGGCCTCTAAAGAGCTTTACGTGCTCAGCAGAGCGGGACAGTATTTCATGCCGGCACACCACCTGCAACTTTACAAGACGCAAGTTCGGCTTCACATGAAGTACTGTTCCCATCTCTGGGCTAGGGCTCCCGGGGTCAGCTCCTTCCACTTGACCCTATTCAGCGCAGAGCTGCTCGAATCGTCGACGACCGAGTCCTTTCCGATCGGCTCGATTCACTGGCGCTGCGAAGAAATGTTGCATCCTTTTGCATTTTCTTTCGCATCTGCCACGGGGAGTGCTCTGAGAAATTGTTCGGATTAATCCTAACTACTAAATTTCATGAACGCATTACGTGGAAAACTTCTGATACCATCCACATCATCTGGAAGCTTGGTGGTCCATCACTGTACGTTTCACTAGGAGTTTTCTTCCGCGTACGACCTCTCTGTGGAACACTTTACCATCGGCGATTTTTCCTGACCGATGCGACTTAGAAATTATCAAGAAAAGAGCTTATTCCTTTCTAAAAGATCGGCAACGCACCCGCAATTCCTCTGGTGTAGCAGTTGTTCATGGGCGGCGGTTGACACTTACCATCAGGTAAGCCGTATTCTCGTATGCCCCCTCGCCTATAAAAAACACTAATTACTGATTGTAGCCCATGTTATATGGCTTTCCTTTCGAAAGCATAGCCTTTCTTAAGCATAAAGAAAAAATATATAAAATGTTAAGTACAAAAATATTTCTTTCGTGTTAAATGTTTTCCTTTCTCTTAATTTGGTAAATTTTTTGATCGTTTGTTTTTCGATGTTTGCAATTTTAAATTAACGAACAATGAGCAAAATCCAAATTAACAATCTTAATTGTCAAAAATATCCATAATAGTTTGTTTTATACACACTTTTTTGCTACCTCTAAATTTGTCTGAGTATATTTCATATGATCATAATTGTTCTGGGTCTGAGTTGAGTGATTAAAGCTATTTAAGACTATGTAGCGATGTGTAGTACAATTTTGTGATCGAGAAAAACGGATTAAAGATGAAACGCGACGTAACAGGTATCATATTGCATCGTCGTATCCTGATACAGTATCAAATTACGTCCATACCATGTTACGATCATGTTTCCATAAAAAAGTTGGCAACCCTAACTGTAAATAGCTTGCTGCGAGCTCAGTATACATGTATAATAACGAAACTGTACTTTAAGAGAATTTTTTTAATAAAAGCGTTGTTTATGCCAGCTATTTCGTATTTTCAACTACATTTTGTTAACGTCCGATGTTACGATGCAGAAATTCGATAAAATAAAATTGAGTAAATGTAATGTCGCTTTCTTCCTATTAATACTGATATAAAAAAAAGTCTTAATATGATGTCTACTTATCAAATTAAAATATGTTACTATTATGGTCTTTTGAAAGTCTATTGCTGGAGATAAGCGTCCGTATGAAAAAAGATTGCAAATGGATAGGGTTTTACTAGACAGATGGGATATTTGACATAATTGCCACGCTTGGTACACGAGCTGGCAACCGTAATTTTTTTATTTTTTGTCTTTATTAGGAATCCTTCTGTCGCCTCATACGACACCCATGGGAGGATTGGAGTAGTTGATATTCTTACACCGCCACTACACGGTCAGACCAAGTTTGACTAGCTCTTCAAATTTACTTTTTCATCTTTAACATATTTTGTTTTCGTTGTATTATTATAGTTATATAAAAGATAATTAATTTGTAAGACATATAATAACAAATATTTCGATACCCATGATATGGGTATATTGTATACAGAGTATAGTGTATACAGAGGAAAAATTTTGTGTTATAGATACAACTAACTATAGGAATTTAACTATTATCATTTAACAATAGCACTGTGTATTTTTGTATTTCAAAGTAATATGATCTGTGAAAAGCTAAAAGACACTCACATTTACTTAGAAACATGTTACTAAGGAGACGTAAGTGTCTTTTAGCTTTTCACAGATCTCATGGTTTTGCATGGAAGGGAACAGGTAACGTTTGCATTACAGTCTTTACAATACTTTTGCGAATTCATAACAAGAGCGTATGCATTACATAACACACAAAAGCCTTTCAGTCACTCGACGTGACGAAGCTCGCGAGCACCGGTGTTGAACGGGCGCATTGCAGCTCGTTTCAGTGCATTGAAATATTTCTGAGTGGCTCGCCTTTTTCAGCTCAGACTTTCATTCCCCGGGTCACCTAGTTAGACGAGGGGTTTTAAGTATTTACCAGGCATACTGCATGCGAATATTTATTTACTTTGAATAGTTTTTTTAATAAAACAACACACAACAGTTATACAAAATACTTTAGATAAAAAATGACTTTAATTGTAACCATACCTTTTAATGTGACTATACATAATGACGTAAAAGGTGTAATTAATAATTTAAGGAACGAAAAGGACATCGAAATAGACAACATTTTAACTGAAAATCTCAGTTAATTACGGTTAGACCACATGAACCAAGAAAAACGAAATATTTGTACACTCTGTTTACAGTACAAGGACATAATCTACTCAGAACGATTACAACTTATTTTTACAAATGACGGTAAGCATCAAATTAGAACTCATAATGAAGACCTCATTTTTATTCGACCGTATAGACAGCCACAAGTATTATAAACGACGAAATAAATAAGCAGATAGAAAATGCTAGAAAACGACATAATTAGACAATCCTTTTCACCTTGGAGAGCAACAGTGCACCTAGTTCCGAAAAAGGCTGATGCAAGTAACGAAAATAAATAAGGATTAGTTATTAGCTATAGGTAACCTAACGAAATTACAGTAGATGACAAATACCCCTTGCCTAACAAAACCGACTTTTTGACAAATTAGGACGCAGTTGTTACTTTACCACACTAGACTTAGCTAGTGGTTATCTTCACACAGAAGTACCTGAAAAGGATAGACAGAAAACAGCTTCCAGTGTACCACCCATTAAATAAATAAAGAAGGTACATTGGGCAATCTTATTACTCTGGAAACGATTTCTTCTAGACAACCTTATTACGCAAAGAATTGTTTACAACGAATGCTAGGCTAGGAGGATCACGACTTTTATAACTTGAAGGGTGTAACACCGCTTGGCGATAAGCTAATAATTATTAATGTACATATTTATAACTTCAAATCGAATAAATTCCTTTTGCATCAACAATGTGTAAACCATTTAGATTGTGCAGTTTAAATAAATAAATTGTAATATAAAATGTTATAACAGTGTAAACTTCCAATATAAGGTGTTGACGTTTTCTTTTGTATAGGAAATAAGCTGTCTGTTCGTTCTAGACTTACTTGGCTATGATATTCTCGTCTACCTGACAGTCCTATTTTCTACATTTTTGAGTATATAGAATGATATAATAATAAAATATAGCAAACTAAGATAATTAGTAAGCAAGAGAAACTAGGAAGATTTTACCAGGTTTTTTCTAAGATTTAGTTGTATAGTGCATCCTGCTGTTTGACGGAGGTGGCTCTGATGACTGACTGTCACAGTGTACAATCAGGAGGACACTATAAGTTTACACGTATAACTTTCGGCCTAAAAATAGCTTTAGCAACCGTTCAGAGAACCATGGACAATGTCTTAAGACGTCTGCAAGGTTTACACTGTCTAGTGTATCTAGATGATATAATCATTTACTCCACAAGTTTACAGGAACATATTGATAAATTACAAACTGTATTTAACAGACTACGACTGACAAACGTTCAGCTAAACAAATCAGAATTTCTAAGTAAAGAAGTATTGTGCGTAGGACATGCGATAACTTGCAACGGACTGAAATCTAATAATGATAAAATTAAAGCCGTATTAAATTAATCCTTACCAAATACGACAACCGAGATTAAAAGTTTCTTAAGTTTGGTAGACTATTACCAACATTTTATAAAAGATTTCGCTAAAGTAACTCAACCCTTGACAGCACGCTTGAAAAATATACGTTCAATGCCTCTTGACGACAGTAAATATGGAGAATACTTTCATAAATACAAAGAATTTTGATCAATGGCCCCATATTAATGTACCCAGACTTTAAAATGCCTTCAAAATTTGCTTTAGGTGCCGTTCTTTCACAAGGACTAGTAGGACAAGATAAACCCATTGCTTATGCTAGTTGAATCCTTAACGATGCCGAAACTCCGGCCCTTGCATAACTTGACTATTTACCATCTGTGTGTTCATTTTCCACGCTTATTCTATAAAAATGTAGGTTGTTGTTTTTTAGATGTAGGTATAAAGTTTATAGATGTGTAATTTTTAGTAGTGACTAGTATGAAGACAGGGTCAATAACTGTGTTTGTGTGTGTGCAGCGTGGCGGCGGGCGACGCAGCGGTGGCGCGGGGCGGGGTGGGGCGTCGGACACGCGCGGTATGTATTGTATATACTCACTGCTCAATACAATACTTCCCTACCTATAGCTACATGAGTAACTGCTTACTCTGTAGCCTTACTGCTTATCCTGTGCTAAATATTTATAGGATTTAACGATTTCTTATATTTACGCGAATAATACACATTAAATGAAAGTAATTTTACGAATTTTTAATTTTTAATTCCCGACGTTTCGGGGGAGCTGTAATATGCCGGAAACATAGCGAATTAAAAAGTTAAAAATAAACGCGATAAAATCTATAAAATTTGCGTCATTTCATTTTAGAATTTGCCAATAGAGTAATGTTTAAATCATTAAAGTAATATGTACTACGTACTAGAAGAGACGCCGAAGCTTGGTTGTAGACAGTGCCATAAAAAGGTCCACGCGTCCCGCACTGACGCACAGATTTTATTCCGCTGTTGTTGTAGTACGTAGCAAATATCACTTCAATTATAAAAATTCCATTTGTGTGTCCATTTCCATTTACTTTGCTGCCGAACCCAACCTAACATGACGGCTGCCTATTACATCACCGGTCCCGAATTCAAATGTCGGCTGGAGCCAAGATTGCTGTAAAACTTCATCCGACTGTACCATCTATATTATCACGTATAAAGCGTTAAATCTCATACTTAGAGTTCAGGTTTAAGACTAATGACTGGTTTAAGACTAAAGACTGATTCTGTGTCTGCGCATACATATACAATATTCAGACACACGGTGGAGTACAAATATTTTGTTTTGGTAGGATACTTTATTTCGATAACAAGTACGTTTCGATAACAACTCACGGATAGTTATCAAGTGATAGTATTTGTGAATTGTATTTCCTACTTGTGCTATACATTTCTTTTACAGTTGCAGGATCCGAAAGCTGCGAGCTGGATAAGATGGCGAACCGTCTGCTAGATTGGTTTTCCGTACTCATGGAGGAAGCCGGAGGGGTAGCACCACCGCTACAAGGTATGAGTGGTGCAGCATTGAAGCTTTTTTGTAACCTGCATCTAAAAGACTGCCAGAATCTCTATAGAACTTAAACCCACCCAATTCTTCTAATTTTGTTTATAGGTAGCTAAGATTCAACAAAAAATCATTAAAAAAATATTTTGCGCATGTTTTTTTATTGAGTCTATAAAAGACATTTTCGGCTTTACTTATGATAATCTTTGATTATCACTTACTTAAATGAAGTAATATGAAATAATATGAAATAGCGGTTTTCACATGTCCTCGAATCTTTTTATAGTTTCGCCATGTCTGTCTGTCCGTCTGTCCGTCCTCGCTTAATCTCTGTGACCGTTAGCACTAGAAAGCTGAAATTTGGTCCCAATATGTGTATCAATCACGCCGACAAAGTGGTAAAATAAAAATTGGAATTAATTAAAATAAAATAAAAAATGATCTATTAGGTTAGCCCCCCTATATGTAAAGTGGGAAGTGATTTTTTTATTTCATCCCTAACGTGTGATATATTGTTGGAAAGGTATTTAAAAATGAATAGGGGTTTACTAAAATCATTTTTTGATAATGTCAATAATTTCGGAAATAATCGCTCCAAAATTAAAAAACAATGTGTCCCCCCCCCCTGTAACTTTTGAACCATAAGTTTAGAAAATATGAAAAAAATCTGAAAAGTAGAACTTTTTAAGGACTTCCTAGGAAAATCATTTTGAACTTGTATGGAAACAACAGTACCCACTACCGGGAGCAGTTGCAGGAGCGCGGAGCGCTGCTGGAGCGCGAACATAATGGATACCCACCTTTAAACTCATAAATGGGAATACTTATTGTGACGGACGGAAAACTACGGAACCCTACACTGAGCGTGGCCCGACACGCTCTTGGCCGGTTATATTAAAGCTACTCATACATCAACCTTTCCCCGCGAAGTTATTCTTCACCACTTACTGGGCACGCGAAAAATAAGTGAACTAAACTTCCTTACCAGTTTCATTCTTCCTCGTGGTAATCATACCTACACTTTTTGTTTCTTTTGCTCAAATAAAACTCATAAAAACTGAAAAGAAGTTTTTGCACGATTGTGGACCACATTTACCTAATAATTCTTGTACTATTATTTAACTATACAAATTCAAATTCCAATTATTCCATCTAAAAATCTCACAGTGCACTTAATTTTCAATTATATCAAAAAATGTCTTAGAACAATATGTAACATGCATAGTACCGAATCATTAAGAGATGTTTTCAGAACAAAGGCTTTTCTTACACTAGGAATAGAAATAGAAACTTTTTTATTCAATGTAGATTATAAAAATACTTATTGAAAGTCACTTTTTTAATTTACCACTGGTTCGCAAAAAAAACCTCTGTCCTGGGAAGAACCAGCAAGAAACCCAGCGGGACTATTTTTTTTAATAATAGCTTACAATCATGTTTACAATCAACAACACAAGAAAAATTAGAAATAGCTTGGTAGCGATCACCCTTCCCAGGGGTTGTTATCATCTATAAATTCCTTAATATTATATAACCCTTTTTATACAAACTTAGTTTAATAACATTTTTGAACTTTGTGTAAGACAAATTTTGTATATTTTCTGGGATTTTGTTGTAAAAGCGTATACATCGCCCCAAGAATGAATTACTGACTCAGTGGAGTCGAGTAACTGGTACTACCAGCTTGTGTCTGCTCCTAGTATTTACAGAATGAATATCACTTATTTTCGCAAAACTACTTTTATTTTAGTGTACGTACATATTAATTTCCTTAAATTTTTGTCTCAGTGACTCTTTTGGTTTTAAATTATATAATGCTCTAATGACCCTCTTCTGTAAAATAAATATAATTTCAGTGTCAGTCGCGTGTCCCCATAGCAAAATACCATACCATAATGCTATGGAAATAACTAAAGTAAACTATTCTAGCTGTTTCAACACTGGTAAGAGTTCTAATCTTTTTTTACAGCATATGCTGCAGAACTAAGTCTGCTAGCTAGTTTTGATATATGGGGGAGCCATTGAAGCTTTGCGTCCAGTGTGATTCCAAGAAAAATGGTGGTATCAACTAGACTCAGTTCCTCCCCATTTAAAATTACATTAGTATTGACATGTTTAACATTAGGAGTTACGAATTTCATACATTTAGTTTTAGTTCCATTCAAATGCAAATTATTAACATTAAACCAATTGACTAACTTAGCTATAGCATTATTTACTTCGTCGTAATTTAATAACTGTCGTTTTAATTTGAAAATTAATGAAGTATCATCAGCAAATAATACTATATCATGGTTATCCACTACTATGTAAGGTAAGTCATTAATATATACAAGAAACAGAAAGGGGCCGAGAATTGAGCCCTGAGGCACGCCCATTTGTACAATCGACCCGGAAGAACTCATACTATTAATAACAACTTTTTGTGTTTTGTCACTTAAATATGAAATAATTAATTTAAGAGCATCATTTCTTACACCGTAGTGTTGAAGTTTCCTGATTAATGTTTCATGGTGAACACAATCGAAGGCTTTGGATAGGTCACAGAACACACGCAAAGCATCCTGTGAATTCTCCCATGCATTAAATATATATTTAATCAGCTCAACACCAGCATCAGTTGTCGAGCGACCCCTTGTGAAACCAAATTGATTTTTATGAAGTAATTTATTTACATTAAAAAAATTAACAATTGATCAAGAATAATTTTTTCAAAAATTTTACTAAGTGTTGGCAGTACAGAAATAGGTCTAAAATTAACGGGGTCCAATGTACTACCAGATTTAAATAAAGGTATTACTTTACTATGCTTCATTAAATCAGGAAACACACCAGATTTGATACTACTATTAAAAATAATAGATAGTTGAGGTGCGATTGTATCTATTATAGACGCAATAACTTTAACAGAAATCCCCCACAGATCGGCGGTTCTCTTAACATCAATAGTCTTAAAATATTTTAAAATATCTTTTGATGAAACTTTATGAAATGTAAAATTCTTTGTACACACATTTACATTTTGTTTAAGTAATGATTCGGCGACGGTAGGAGAAGAATTCAGTGACTTAGTGGTTAAGATCGGAATATCAGTAAAATATTTCTCAAAAACCATTGCAACGTCCTGATCTGATTTAGTTAATTTATTGTTAAAACTTAACTGGTAGTTTGAATTACGAGAGTTGACCTTACCAGTTTCACTATTAATTATACACCATGTCATTTTAATTTTATTAGAAGCAGTCTTTATTTTGTTGCTTAAATACAATGACTTGGCTAAGGAGCACACTCTTTTAAATATTTTGGAATATTTTTTTACATATTCCCTAAATTCGACACTAGGATTATATGACCTTTCATTGTAAAGTTCATATAACCTTTGTCTACTCTTATGGACTCCTACTGTCGCCCATTCATTAAATGTTTTACGATTATTCAAGGAGAATGTTTTAGAAGTAAAAGTATTATTAAATTCATTGCAAATGAGCTTAAATAATATTGCATACAAAAAATTTGGTAATATATTTTTATATATTACCAAATTTTTATATATATAAGTATGAAAGTAATGGAAGTTTTTTTACTATGTTACTTCTAAACTTCTCCAAGCGATGTGCATTTACTGGAACAAACACTACTTTTTTATCTACTTGTTTTTTGTGAACATAAGGTAATGAAACAAATTGTCCACAGTGATCAGAGCTCAATTTTTGAATTATACATTTATTGAACGGCTTAACATTTATAAAAATGCTATCTATACATGTTGCACTAGATTCAGCAATACGTGTTGGCTCCAAAAATAAATTAAAAAGACCATAAGATTTAAACAATGATCTAAATTTAATATTAGTGGAGGAAGCTTCTAGGAGATTGATATTAAAGTCTCCACATATTACAACTGATTTATTCTGTTTATTAAGCTTAGCGAAAACTTCCTCCATAATTTTTTCAAAAGTATCATATAAAGAACATGGGGGTCTATAAACGCTCACAACAATGAGGTGCTCAAACTCAACACATGCCATTTCTACAGTTCGCTCAACAGAGAGGCTCACAATATCTTTACGTTCTTTATATGATAATAATTTACTAGCTAAAATTAAGGAGCCACCTCTTAAAATCGTTTCTCTATTGAAAGAACTGAGCACCTGGTGATTACTAAAGTTAAACATTAAATTATGAGCTTTTAACCAATGTTCAGTAATACATAAAATATGAATATTGTTGCTATTTAAAAACAATTCAATTTCTAGCTCTTTGCCTATCATGCCTTGTATATTCTGATGCACCAGGTGTAAACAATTTTTATCATCATTTTGTGGAGTTATACAATTGCAACTATTAAGGGGAAATATAACCTCAAATGGCTTAGCAAGATCCTCCGTTATGCCGAAAGTATTGTAGCATTAATTTTGAAATAAATATATGGTAAAGTTGAGAATTAATGTTAAGGTTTATGTGAGACGAAAACACGATTCCGTAAAATTTTCTCGATAGAAAAAAAATCCAAAGTTACCTCCAAACTGAACAATAAACCGCTGTTATTCGTAAAATACTTTAAATAAGATCATGAAACTTTGCATACTAACTGAACTAACCATAAAGCAGTGCTTAGGTTATTTACTTTTTTTAAATTATCATTATTTTCACTGTAAAAAGAAATTACCTAAACTATCGGCGCGTAAGCTTGGTTCCTGTCGCTCCGCAAATCCGTTGAGTAGTTTTTGCATGTACGTGAATACACAGACAGAGAGATAAACAAAAATTCTTAAAACCACTAATTTTGCTCCAGAGCCTTTTATTTATTTTAGTTCCCTGGCCTTGTTTTTCCAAAAATTTAAAAGAATTACAGACGCAACTTTTCTACAGATTTATTATATGTATAGAATAGATGAAAGAAAGTACCGTTAGAATACTTAAATTGTGAGATTAGGCAACACCTATTTCTGTCAACAACTGGTTTCAGTTTGAAGAGTATTGTCTTCGAACTAGCATTCGTTCTGCACTCATTCTCCTTCACATTGTCCGAACTCATTTATCCAACTCCACTGCTGAACAAAGGCCTTCCCCGTAGATATAAAAAGTATAATCTATGTCCTATTCGGGTTCAAAATTCTTTCAGTAGTTTTTGCGTGATCGAGTAACAAATATCATACAAATCTCGAAAAATTCATACAAATTCCCACATTTTTAGTGGAAGAATGAGGAGAAAAGGAGGAGACGAGAAGAGAAAATAAGTAGAAGTGAAAATAAGTAGGAGTTAAGACGTAATACTCTTTAAGTAGCGTGTTGCGTATTTCTAGTTTATTTTATTTTGTATGTTTTTACTTGTAAGTGTATCGTAATGTTTCGAGTTGTATTGTTAGGATTTCCGCGGGACTGCAAGCCTGAAGTGCGGTGGATGTTTTCGCACCTGGACGTGGCTGGTGACGGACTGCTATCGCATGACGACCTCTATGCACTACGTGAGTATATAGGATGTATATTTTTGATGTGAAACATTTATTGGCGCGTCTTGGCAGTAAAACTGACTCGTATGCTGTGACGGCAAACGGTATGACGCTTTTGTATGCGATCATGTACTATACCAACGCTCTCGACTGCCTTATGTGTGCTTGCTCGTATTCTCTATGCTCGTATACTATACACTTCGTTGCTTCTTAGTGTGAGCTGTGTACTGCGTGTGCCTTTCTATTTGATTACAGTATAATTGACCCGTTCACCGCTTGTTATTTATTTTACTACATATTTCCTTATTGTTTTTCATCAATTATAAATTCTACCATCAACTTTGATGTTTTATGTGCCGGGTGTTCCCTGACGATCAACTTTTTTTTGTTACTCTCCATTAAGACGATAATTTTCTTTGCGAAATTTTTCAATTGTTTTTAATTTTTTACCACGTTTTTATTATGTTCTTGTATTGTTCATCCCAATTCGAACTATATTCTAAATTTGAAGTTCCCAGCTCATCGGGAAGTTAGCTTAAAATCAATTACCAAATTCCACCCAGAACTATAGATTAAAAAAACCGGGCAAGAGCGTGTCGGGGCACGCTCAGTGTAGGGTTCCGTAGTTTCCCGTCCGTCACAATAAGTGTTCCCACTTATGAGGTTAAAGGTGGGTATCCACTATGTTCGCGCTCCAGCAGCGCTCCGCGCTCCTGCAACTGCTCTCGGTAGTGGGTACGTGCGCGAACATGGAGCGTGCAACATTGCACGCTCCGCGGCAGGCGATGCCAAGGAGAGACCAACCGAACAATTCGATAATACCCGACCCAATGTAATAAGTACCTACAGCGCCATCTCTCGGGGAATTGGGTTACTAATTAATACATAGACGGGTCAGAAGTTTTCGGTGGTAATTTTGGATTGCGAGAACCGATTTTAATAATTCTTTTTTTTGTTTGAAAAAAGATACGTTCAGGATAATAAAAAGTGTAAACGAAGTTAAAAAAATGCTTGCATATACGATTATACTACCAACTTAGTCCAGAAATTATTTTGTACAACTTTTTGTCTTTTTTGTAAAAAAAACTGTTTCCATCCAAGTTCAAAATGATTTTCCTAGAAAGTCCTTATAAAGTTCTACTTTTCAGATTTTTTTCATATTTTCTAAACCTATGGTTCAAAAGTTAGAGGGGGGGGGACACATTGTTTTTTACTTTTGGAGCGATTATTTCCGAAATTATTGACATTATCAAAAAATGATTTTAGTAAACCCCTATTCATTTTTAAATACCTTTCCAACAATATATCACACGTTAGGGTTGAAATTAAAAAAAAATCAATTCCCACTTTACATATAGGGGGGCTACCCTAATAAAACATTTTTTTCCAATTTTTATTTTACCACTTTGTCGGCATGATTGATACACATATTGGTACCAAATTTCAGCTTTCTAGTGCTAACGGTCACAGAGATTAAGCGAGGACGGACAGACGGACAGACAGACATGGCGAAACTATAAGGGTTCCTAGTTGACTACGGAACCCTAAAAAAGAAAGTGACTTAATAAAAACCTAGTAACAATCAAACCTTAATAAATCTCGTTTGTGGCAATATTAATAAAGATGAAATTTTCTTTATCATTGTAGATCTTAAAGGTAAACCGTAATTTATTTATTATTGTACAGACTTCTGGAATAATCTTGCTTTTTACTTGTCTGGACATTTTAAACTTATATTGTAGACTGGTCAACGACTCGCTTTTTGCCAAAAAGCGCAGTCACCGCCAACCTTTGTTGAATGTACACAGCCATTTGAAATCTGGTATTTTGTTTTGCAATGTACCATTGAACGTAGTAAATTTTCAAAGTTGGTTTCAAAGTCTCTCAAAGCGGTTAACAAATCTAAATTTTGAGTTCTACAATTGATAACTGGGTCTGTTTTTATATGAATTTGTAGAACTCATTGTCTTAGCCTTTCAGCCTTTTTGCTGACTTTGGCTATAATAATCGCTGCAGCAGCAGCGGTTGCTGCAGTAGCAAACTCGTCCATATTGGCCACGAGCCGCGAGCACACTGCGGAAAACTACGCTAGAGGAGAGTGATTGTTGTAGGCTCGTTGTACACTTGGCACCGCGAGTAGAGTGGCTCAGCTCACGCGCGGCTCCTCTAGCGTAGACCCATCTTAGGTAAAATATTAAAAATACTACGTCAAATGGCTCAGCAAGATCCTCCGTTATGCCGAAAATATTGCAGCATTAATTTTGTTATAAATATATGGTAAAGTTGAGGATTAATGTTAAGTACTATGTTAGACGAAAACACGATTCCGTAAAATTTTCTCGATAGAAAAAAAATCCAAAGTTACCTCCAAACTGAACAATAAACCGCTGTTATTCATAAAATACTTTAAATTAGATCATGAAACTTTGCATACTAACTGAACTAACTACATAATAAAGCATGTATAAAGCAGGACTTTGTTATGTTTTTTTTAAATTACCACTATTTTCATTGTAAAAAGAAATTACCTAAACTATCGGGGTCTTGAAGCTTGTTTCCTGCCGCCCGGTCTGTCTCGCTTCGGCCTTTGAATGGGGAAGCTGTGTCATTTATGATCAGATTACACATTACGCAACAGGACGACGTAAAATTAAACTGGGAAAATAACCGTAATAAAAATAAGAAGCGACGGAGTCGGCGTAAAGAAAAAGGCATAAATATGATAAACCTAATGAAATAACTATATAACGATTTATCTACTTACAGTATTAGTGATTACAAACATGTCGGTACATAGCATACGACGCGCGGGGAAGTGAAATTAGAATTTGAGCTGAATTACTATATCGCCTTAATGTTAAAATTTTATGATCGTCTCGTACAATTTAATATATGGCTAGGTATGTTCATGTGTATGTAACTGGTGGCAGGTCACGACGAGCGTGAGCGGTGCTTGCGTCCGTTCCTGGCGTCGTGCGGGCGCGGCGTGGTGTCGCGGGGTGCGCGGGGCGGACGGGGAGCGCGCGGGCGCGGTGCGGAAGCGCACGGCCTGAGTGGGGGGAGGCGCGCGGACTGACGCGCGCCTCGTGGTGCGGCTGCCTGCGCCGTGCCGCGCGCCCCTGCGCTGCTCTCGCACGTGCACATCCCAACCCTAGCGCTGGTACTAACACAATACAATCATTATTTGTTTTTTCAATATACTGTTGCTATCATTTTTATTTTTGAAGTGAAATCTTCTTTAGAATCGATGTGATTTGAAAACTAGATTAAATGAAAAAGAGACAAATATATATATATATATATATATATATATTTTATTTTATATATATATATATATCTGTAGGATTTAGCCTGCAAGAAAATGAGAAAGAATACAGTGTTGACCGCGAACTCTAAAAGATTGTGGGTTCGAATCTACCATTAGACTACTGTCTTTTTTAATAATAATACGTTTATTTGTTGATCACAAGTAAAACATTAGAAGATATTTACAATTGCTTAATGTGTCCGATATAATGGTCTAGCATTAATTGGCATACAAATATTTTAATGAAAATAAATTGACCGATTAATAGCAATGTCAAACTTTTACCGATTTCGAGCTCAATCAATCATATCCATAACTGTATAATTTTAGTAAATGTCTTAAAGAAATAAAAAAATCAAACGAAAGAACAAAGTGTAATAAACTTTATCAATTACTAGAGTTAAGTTTTTTTATAAAGTCGTCTATTTTATTTAATTTAATATTGTTAAGCAAATAATTGTACATAACAAGAACCATCCCTAATTTACAATGTCGTAATAGCTGTTTTACCTGATACACTAACTATTTTGTGTTTTAAACGTTGAGTTGTTCTTTTTTGTCTATTAAAAAAATTAGATATTTTATATATTAAATAAATGCCTGCCATCTAGTGTCTATTTTGGTATTTATTTTATATAAAGGTGGTACGACCTTAATGGCCTTATCATACTAGCGGTTTGCGAGCGGCTTCGGGGCGGAGTGGGCGAGCAGTGATTACGTCGCGGACGCGCAACGAATCAGAGCTGCGCATGCGCAGCGAATACGTCGCGGACGCGCAACGAGATCGCCGCGAATAGCAACGGGGACGCCATTTTGTACACTCTCGTACAAACGTTTAAAACATACCTTATAGTAAAAACGAGTCTTTTTTCAGGTGACACTGATAATTTCAAATGTGTATCTTCATGTCTTAAGTCGGTTTGTATCAGATGCAAAAACTCATAAAATTTAGGTCTTCACATTTGCAGGTAGGAACGAATTTTTTTAGGATTATATTTTATTCGTTTGCAAAACAACACAAAGTAGTCGCTCTCTTCCAGTCGATTATTTGATAATGGATCCTACCAAAATCTGTTGTTTTCGTCTCATGCGTCTTCGAAGTAACAAAACCAACATCAGTGTTTCCTCGTCGGTTTGCATTTTGTTAGTGAGTGTACTGTACGTCGTAAACTCGTTGCGAACACGTGGCGAAAACGTTGCGTATCCGCCAAGCGTCCGCGACGTCCTCGCTGCGCAGCCGCGGCGTGTTCGCGACGTATTCGCTGCACGCCCGCTCCGCCCCGAAGCCGCTTGTAAACCGCTCGTATGATAAAGCCGTAAGAGTCAATCAAATTTTGTTCGATTAAAAAAATTACTCGTAAGATAAAAATATTCTCCCGAGGCCTGAGCGTGCAGTTATCCATAGGCACATATCTATCTATATACGTTTTGTATTGCCTACTACTATATATATATATATATATAAGGTGTGCGTGTTGCAGGCGCCTACGTGCCGGCGTGCGACGCGCGCGGCTTCTACCTGCCGCGGCAGTGCCATGCAGCGCTCGGCGTGTGCTGGTGCGTGGACGCGCACGGCGTGGAGCGGCCCTCCTCGCGCACCAAGGGACAGCCCGCCTGCCCCACCGCTGGTACGTGCAACTAACAGTAAATACAGTAGTACAGGTAGCGCCACGCGGCGCTCGACGTGTGCTGGCGCGTGGACGCGCACGCTGTGGAGCGGCCCGCCTCGCGCACCAAGGGACAGCCTGCCTGCCCCACCGCCGGTACGTGCAGCCAGCAGTACAGGCAGTGCCACGCGGCGCTCCGCGTGTGCTGGCGCGTGGACGGGCACGGTGTGGAGCGGCCCGCCTCGCGCACCAAGGGACAGCCTGCCTGCCCCACTGTCGGTACGTGCAGCCAGCAGTACAGGCAGTGCCACACGGCGCTCGGCGTGTGCTAGCGCGTGGACGCGCACGGTGTAGAGCGGCCCGCCTCGCGCACCAAGCGACAGCCTGCCTGTCCTACCGCCGGTACGTGCAGCCAGCAGTACATGCAGTGCCACGCGGCGCTCGGGTGTGCTGGCGCGTGGACGCGCACGGTGTGGAGCGACCCGCCTCACGCACCAATCGACAGCCGGCTTGTCCTACCGCCGGTACATGTAGCCAGCAGTACATGCAGTACCAAGCGGCGCTCGGCGTGTGCTGGCGCGTGGACGCGCACGGTGTGAAGCGGCCCGCCTCGCGCACCAAGGGACAGCCTGCCTGTCCCTCCGCCGGTACGTGCAGCCAGCAGTACATGCAGTACCACGCGGCGCTCGGCGTGTGCTGGGGCGTGGACGCGCACGGTGTGGAGCGGCCCGTCCCGCGCACCAAGGGACAGCCTGCCTGTCCTGCCGCCGATACGTATAGCCAGCAGTACAGGCACTGCCACGCGACGCTTGGCGTGTGCAGCGTACACCCGCACATGAGAACTTGGCATTTTAAAACGAAGCGCCATAGTGAAAGATTCTTTGTTACCTAAATTGTGTTTATTATTTATATTCGTATTTTATTACAATAACCATAATATACATAAATGGAATACTATCTTCTTCTTAAGAGCCCTTTTACATTTCGGCGTTACGCAAATTTCGGTATTTTACGCTCCGAGCGGACGATGACTTACGCGAGCGATAAATTATTTCTTACCTCTATTCACTCGCTCGCATTATGGTACTGTGAGTATAGCGACTAAACCATCTTGATCTTCTTGTAAAATGAGAAATTTTCTTAGGATGGAGTCCAGTGGATGGAAAATTTTTGGTGTGTAATTTTTATATTATCTATATAATTTATTATAATCTACTTCCTATATTTTTCATTATGTATAAACCTTAGTGTTGAAATAAGTACACATAAATATTTTAATTGTTTCACAGTAATCGACTGTTAACCGATGTTGGTTAATAATCGATTATATCTACTGACGGTAGCATATTGGTATAAATAAGTAAATAGTACGTTTGCAACCTGTTTTAATAAATAAAATTATCAACTGTAACTAATATTTTTTTAATCGGTACTTACAGCCAATTACCATATGTTTATTATAAAAATATTTGCCGCAACGGCACTGACCGACCTTATCTCGAGTCAATAATTTCTGGCAGTACACACCATTCTTCTTTTTTTTTAAAACACATTACCCCACACTAGGATTTTCTCCTGTATCGTGGAGGCAGTTTACAAACATAAATTGCACAAGGACGAACATCCAGACCCGGAACAATTATTTGTAGGCCATACAAATACTTGTGCGGGATTCGAATTCACTCATTGCTAAGCCACTGCGTTACGGAGCCGTCAACAAACACTTTTTATAAAACCCTTGTAACTGGGGTAACATATTTAAAATCCAAAATTTGTCGTCTTTGTAGATTTTTATTACTTTTATTGCATATTCTAGGTTAGTTCACATGGCAAGTATGCAGACATTTTTACTCTCCATTATTTTTTTCCAAAGATAGAATATTTCTTTTTTTTGCGTTTAGTTGATACATTGATACTTGTATTTATTTTTCCTCATTTCGACTGGTAAGAAAGCTCAGCTACAATCAAAATAACTATGTATAATGAATTAACTATCTGGTATAATAATAATGTGCGAACTTTATACTAATTGAAATATACTGCACGAAAGTAAATACTTGCAACGAATAAAAACAGCGGGCGTAGTTGACGATACTCTTGGCACAAAATAGCAGCGTAAGTGACACACATCAACCTTGACGACCGCTCGTGCGGTAATGATAAAAAAGTACTCTGTGGGTAATGATTTTAGAATTCCGACGCAGAGAAATATATGGTAGTAAAATAACGCCTTGTAAAGTTGCACCCGGTGTGCCGCTATGAATACTGTCCCGCTCTACAAAGCACACCAAGCTTTTTAGAGGCACGTCATTCGATATATCGATGCTGAGGATTCAGATGCTGTCTGAGACAGCATGGAGAGTGCCCTGAGATGAAATTAAGGAGATACGACAAAAGGGTTCATTTTAGGGTTAAACGCGCAACTTTTGCGCGCTTTTTCTTCTGATGTTTAAAATAGACTAGAGTCATCGCCAATGCGAGATTTTGTTTGTTAAAGATTCGTCTTTAGACCCAAGTTTGTGTCGATACTCGACGACGTGGTTCTGAGAATTATCTGTGTTTCTAATTAGTCGGTGATGCTCAAGGTACCTTATGAGCTGGCAGTTTATGATTGATTCCATTATTTTGGAGAACAAGGAGGTGATGGTGGTGATGGTGGAAGATGGTGATAAGTAGTTGGACGTGTCTAAGCAGTCGTATTTTTAGGGATCAGCTACATTAAAGCTGTCTTCCATAAGTTTAGGATTACGCTATATTTTCTCCGGATCACCCGTCTTCAGCACAATAGACAGCATCGGACACACTCGACTTGTTGACGTCCATGGAGAGGACTGTTTTAAACACAGAACGCTGTGTATGCATGGAGCAATCACACCGCGGGATGGTCGGTGGTGCGTAACCCCTGTCATCGAGATTCGAGTAGAACTCCAGAAGAGAACTTAAAAGATCAACTTTCTCCTTTGCGGCATGGGCCAGTGTTTTTATCGTTCTCTTGTGTACAGATGGAACAGGTAGCTTACAGAAGTCACTTTGGACGGACTTGGCAAAACACCTTAATAAAATAAGAGGTATAAAGAGAGCTTGAGCAGTTTAAAATCTTTGAATCACGTCTAATCAGACAATGAAAGAACAAATAATTCAGTCTGAATTTTACAACTTATTTATTTGTTTTGTACCAAAAATAAAGAAAGAGCCACAAGTGAAATACTTGCGGTATTTACTCTATTATTTATTGAGAATATTATACCAAATTGTATTCTTTACATAAGTGGAGCTTGCAAAGGCAACTCAGCGCACCCCCGAATCTTTCGCCGTAGACTCCAGCCCAGTTAGCCTGTGTGGGCAAATCAGGCCCTGTCTACACTCCAAAATCAGAACGAAGTTTTTACACAAGCTTTATATTCTCGGTCTCGACTATACCTTAGAGTTCTTGCGATTCAAGAAATAGATCAGGCTTTACCTGTGGTAAACACATATCTGTAATATACTCGTACGCGTCAACTGGAAGTGAGATGGTCGCACGCACACTATCGCAACTTACATGTTTGTACTTACTCAGACTTTGTTTAATATCGTAAGAAAGGTATATTTGTTAGTGTTGTTTGTGTGTTGTTCGCAAAACTCTTCAACCAATACCAATAAATAATGAATGCTTAATATTTAAATACACAGAGGAAAATACTGATGTTATTTTAGACGATCAAGAGTCGGAGAGCGGCGAGAGCTTGGAGAGCGAGGGGGGTGCGGGAGAAGAGGGGGACGCGGGCGCGCTCGGGCCCGCAGACGACGAGGACGAGCCCGGCAGCGGGGACAACGAGCTGCGCTTCTAGAGCTGAAACTCGGTTTGTGTTTCATATATTCTATTGTATATAAATAATGTGATTCACCATGACCTTGGGAATGCCTATGGTATATTCACGATGAAGCACAACTGATGTAATTGTATTTTAATGATTATAAAAATACTTCCTTTCACCAGCACTTACGGTCCGCGCAGTCTAATTTGGCCGGGTTGAAGTTGATTTTCCAAGATCCGCGCATGTATAGACGCTAGTCAATAGAGACGTGCTACTTCATATTCGCTCTTAAGATTGCTTAGAGAAACAATCTGTTTTGTCTATATTGATTATAGAATAAATTAAAAATTATTATTATAATGTAAATATCTATATGTATTTCAATAAAACAATACTATCTAATACATGATTACGATAAACAGTTTGAATATATATGTAGTAAATACACGATAGCGACAACAAATTCTTTCAGTAATAGCAAAATAATATAGGTAATCATAATCACTGTATTTAAAACGACATGTTGCGTTCACACACGGATGATCCATAAAAATATAAAATAAAACGACATGTTGCATTTACACACGAATGAACCATAAAAATATGAAATAGAATCGAATCATAATCGATTATTTATGTAATTGTAACCGCGCAATACCTATGCGTCACATCTCTAGTTTTACGGTGACCGCCCATCCTCCCACTCCTCCTCCTCCTGTCACCTATTTGTTCTTAAAATATATATACAATGTACATAGGTACATGAACTCTCTCAGTTATCGCCTAGATAAGTATGTTGAGACTACGAACTTCCATTTGCCACAATCCTAACACATCTTTCTCGCTTCTTACACATCCTGATATCACTCATAATTTAACCGTCTTATCGCCAATTTCATCGATAAACTTCTGCTCAGAGTGTCCCTTATTGACTCTACCACTCAAGTACGCAGCATACGTTTGCGTTGAACCGACAACGTTAATATCACTCGTAACTTCGCTATAGATTTCAACCCACTATGAGTTGAAATACTGGCCGGAGGGCAGGTCGGCATTTGAGAGCTTTACATTGCTGTATGTATATACGCATGTTGAAATATTCTCTCGTTCCAGGTAGCAATGCCAGATCGGAGGACCAAAATATCTGGACAAATTTTCAAAAATGTCGGGATTTTAGGGTTGGTCTCTGATGAATATTAAAAATAAAGTTTATTTTTTAAATTAATGGGCTACAAAAAACAATCTAGACACAACTAATTTAAGTACCCTTACTTTTTAGGTTTCCACATGTATTTAGCATTGAACTTTACTGAGTCCACCAATTTGAATCCTTTAGCAGTATTCAGAAGAGATTTAAAATTCAAACGAATTACTTCAAAGTTCAGTCTAATTACTATCTCAGCCTTCATTAAATCAAAGGGCTGAGATGTGAAGAGAAGCTGTTTGTCTGGAGTCTGGAGATCATTGACAATGTCGGGACAATTCAGACGAATCCCGACCATCTGGCAACTCTAGTTCCGTGAGCCTAGAATTGCTCAATATGTATAATGTAAAATGTATAATTTTTTCCGTTCCAGGCATTCCAAAGCCGTCGTGGATGGATGGCCAAAGCGTCACCCGTCGGTTGCGCCGCATCGAACCCCGTTGCAATTTATTATAATAGTACTTACTTACGTTTAGTGCGTTAGACAGTTTAGAGTAACATTATTTCAATTTGTCACAAAATTAGTAAAATTGTGTTAGTATTGTTTAAAACAAACGTATTTTTTTCTTACATAGGCCTAATACTAGGCCTAATTAATTTCTTAACGAGTCTTAACCGTCCTGACATCAAAAATGAAATGTAGAGTCAAATGTATACTTAACAAAAATTTATTATTATTCTAGCATTAGGTAAATACGAATGCTAAGTATATCTAGTATCTATTCTGATTACGTGTATGCAATGCGATATATCCATTTAGTTTTATCCGTATAAGAGAAATATGCAAAATGATTACAGAAATATTCTTTATAAATAATGATTATAAAAGAAAAATAAGGTGGGATCAAAATAACTCTTAAAATAAATCAAGACGTAGACGTTAAAGATGTTTGACAATTGAATAGAACTATTACTATCCTGGTATACCTTAAATATCTAAAGTAACGACTACATACCATTTAGTTTATACATAAATGGATATTTATAATTTTTTATTGTTTTGCCGATATAATAACCCTCGCTATTCGCGAATAATGGCATCACTGTTTAATCAGAATTTAAATTTAAACGATAATGATTGACTTATGATATTACTAGTTATAAGATATCCAGTACCTATTTTAACGGCGACCAGCTTCGTACTTAGCCGCCATTGCACACAATACCTAGTTTACTTTATGTAGTACTAATATGTTAAGCAGCTGTTGAATAAAATTGTTGTAATCGAGACATCTTTCAATGTTATGCAGTTTTCCCATTTTTTCTTTTAATAATAATTGTCACTTTGCTAAATTTTGCACTTATTTAAACTACACTATATGTGTAATTATTTAAAAAAAATGTATAATATTAAAAGCACAGAGATTTAGTTTTTATATAATAAACAAATAAGAGGAGGCAAACGAGCATGCGGCTCACCTGATGTAAGGTCTGTAACACCAGCGGAATTGCAGATGCGGCCTTCTAGCCTCTTTTCTTGAAGGTCCCTAAGTCGTATCGGTTTGAAAAATCGATGGTATTCGATACCACAAGGAAGTTGTGCGAGGAAGGAAACTTATTTTAAATCGCACAGCGGTGGACCGCCAATTATCCAGATGGTATGGACGTTATCGCGAGTTTTGTTTAATTAATTAGTGCAAACAACTTTTATGAGCACTCCCCGTGGTAGATGCGATGGAATACGCGAAGATGCAAGATCTCTTCGCAGCGCCAGTGGGTCAAGCCGATCAGTAAGGGCTCTAGAGCCGATGAATCGAATCGCTCTGCGCTGGTTGCGATTAAGTGGAATAAGAAAGCACTGGGGAGCCCCGGACCCAGAGATATGAACAGTTTTCCATGTGAGGCCGAATTTGTGCCTTCCAATTCTGGATTATTTACCCATATACAATAAATATATTAAACTAATAAAAACCAATAACAATTATCTTGCTTAGGTTGTCTGGAAGAAATTGCTGCATAGCAATAAGACCGCCTTTTGTTTATATAATAAAGGGTATTGTATTGTATTGTATCTTTTACCCGACTGCGATGGTACAAAAAGAAGATAGGTAACGGTCTTGGTCTATATGTATTTGTTTCTTTGTTCCTCTATAACATCAAAACCTGTCGTCAAATTTTCACAAATATATCTCAATTGTTTTTACACACTCGCGCGGAATGCATGGTTTATATTATGACGACTAATTACAATAATATTGGCAAAGAATTCCATTTTCAAAATTTGAATATATTTTTTTGTTTTGGCGACGAGGTTCGCCACCCGTTACATTCTGTCTCCCGGAGGGGCGAAAAGTGGATTGTGGAATCCCGTCCGGCTACGCTGAATATATGTGGAGCAATGAATATATGATGTATGATAGATGAATAGATGTGTTATGTGTAAATGAGACGAAACAGAAGGGAAACGGTATGTATACCATTTCCCTTCTGTTACATGTACATGTCCGTGTACTGGTCTGGTGTAGACGAGACCGAGTGGGCATGCCAGAGAGTCGGTATCATCCTTTCAGAAAGAATGAGTCAATGCGTGAAAGAGTATGAAATAAGCCCGAGACGTAAATGAGAGAGTAAATGCCGTCAGGTCCTGTCGCTTATAGGGAAGTCAACTGTGAATGGCTAATTTTGTCCATTGTTACAACTGTTTGTACTGAATTCCGGTCTTCGGTTGTTGGTATCACTGCATCTACATGCCGATTCATCCTCTGAGTTACACAGCAACCTGGGAAGTGTGTTTTAATTAGGATGCGATGGGTTTCATCCGGCCATGATGAGTAGTTGCCGTCGGGTTTCTTTAAAGAGATGAATCCCGGCGTGTTCTGTTTAGCTAGGATTTTCCTTGCCCGTTTCGTTTCGCTTACAGGTTTCTATGTTACCACAGAATTTACGCCATTTTGTCGAACGTCGATACCTGATACATTTTTTGTACTCAGACTTAGCTTTCATGTATAGTAGCCAGCCTTCTTTCATTGAGGTATTCATGGCCCTATTTAAGGCTTTTCTTACCTTTTTGCGTTTCTTATCTAGTTATTTACCCCACCACGGTTGCTTTCCCTCAACAAGCCTTGGTATAGTGATTTCTGGACATGCTACATGGTAGCTGTCCACCATGGTTCTAGTAATAGCTACCACCTGTTCTTCTAGGAGTGACTGATCTGCTATAGTGTTTGTCGCCTCAAAACCCGCGAGCGAAGACATTAGCTTATTTTGGTACTTTATTTAATAATAATAACGCCCAAAGGGCCACTGCCTGGAGGTCGCCAGAGCGCGTCTGGTACTGGCGCTGGACGCGACAGATGCGAACCACCAGGCGAACGCGAAGTGCTGTATGACCACTCAGCAGCCCGTCGTATCTATTATTCCCATTAGCTGGCTTAGTTTCGGCGTGTTCTTCGCGGGCCCAGCAATCGGCACCCGCCACCGGTGAAGTACGCCACATGCGATGGACAGTCCAAAAGACCTATTTGGAAGCCAGTCGGGACCTTTGCGAGACGCACTCAATTCTTTTTGGCGCCGCACTAGCAGCTTACCGTATCATTGACGCCAAGTTTTCCACGGCTGGACGTGCTACTGGACAATGTAATGCTATCCCAGCCTGGAAAAAAAATTGAGGACCGTGTCGCAAAGGCAAGGGTAGCAAGTAATAATAGGCCGAGAGTAATGCGCACCGTTAAATGGCGTTTGCTGGGCCATATATCAGTTTGTCCCAGCCGAATATTACGCTGGAACTAATGGAAGGCATAGACGACCTGAAGCAAAGAATCGCTGCTTGGGGAAAGATGATTCGGCGATAGATCAAGAGATCTAGGGGTTCAACCACAATCATCTCTTCCAGAGTGATCAGAAGAGACTCTATAAATCATTAGAGAGACCAATTGCAACCTGTTGCATTCTGGCGAGGCCTGTGGTCAGAGCCCGTAAACCACAGTGAAGGCCCTTGGACGGAAGTTGTGGCTAGTCAGTTTGTGAATGTGACGCCCATAAATCTCGTCATCATAACTCCGGCCGATGTAGCTGAGGTGGTCCGTAGGGCCGCGAACTGCAAAAGTCAGGGGCTAGATGAAGGTGTTCGAGGCGTGTTACGCGGTGCTCGTCCGACAGTTTCAACAGGCTCTCGACCAGAAGTCGCTCCCGAGCCTCTTCACTACTGGGATGACTCATTTGGTTCCTAAAGACCACGATATCATAGACCCGAGCAAATTCCGCCCCATCACGTGTCTACCAACTATATACAAGACACTGTTCACTGGGTGCCCGCCAACTTTATTGCGCGTTCCTCTGTGAATAAATATTTCGTAAAAGTTATTCCATCTTTCATTATGGTCACCAGTAAGGACTCCTATGGAGTCAGCTCCTTAAACACTAACATCAGGTCAGTTATACCAGACAGTTATAAGTTATAAAATTAAGAAGAACTTGCTTAATTTTACTTTCTGTTGTATTGTACACGTAAAGTCAAATCACACTTTGCATTACATTTATAAAAACAGTCTGCAATAAACCATTAGACAGTGAATACGTTGTTAACTTCTCTAAAGTGACATATAAGCAAGTTTGACCCGTCCGTATAACAACTTAAAGATAATAGTGGTCCTTCGAGCCGGATTTTTATTGAATAGGCGACTGATAACGTCGAGTCGGAGAACAAAAGAGCCTGGACGCTAATACCAAACAAGTTGCATTAAAGTTATTAGTGTACAAATAAAGTGAATAACCATCATATTATTCAATATTTAACATGGAAAACACGGAACAAATTTTAAGTGAACTTGAAGATTTGCACTGTTGTATTGTTAAAATCCACGATAACTTTAAAAAATGTCCAAAGGCACGTCTAACTAAGGGCTATTTAGAAACAAAAATTAACTGCCTTGATGACTATTGGAACTCGTTTAAGACCGCACATATAAATTTATTAAAATCTATGCCTAAGGAACACCGAAAACGCTTTGAATATTTTAATAAAGACGTGTATTATTCGTGTGAAGAAAGTTATATGCAAATAAAAGCGGATATGAAGGACTTATTAGATTCATTACATTCTACGGTTACACAATGAGCTGGCGTTGGTGAAAATAAGATGATGCAGCGTGAAGTTCCCCAAGTTAAGTTGCCCAGAATACAGTTACCATCATTTTCTGGCAGTTACGAAGATTGGCCGACGTTTCAAGATTTATTTTTAACACTTGTTGATAAAAATGAAACAGTTGTGTTCAAAAACTACATTACTTGAAGTCTAGTGTAACGGGTGATGCCGAAAGTTTATTGAAACATATTCAGGTAACCGAAACGAATTATGCACAAGCGTGGGATATATTAAAGAAGCGTTATAGCAATAAACGACTCATAGTGACCTCTATTCTAAAACGAATGTTTAACCAAAAAAAAATTGCAGTCAGTCCGCAAGTCAAATTAAATCTTTACTCGACACTACGACCGAATGTCTTAATAGCTTGAAAAACCTAAACGTTATTACCGA